GCTATAACTCTGCACGGAACTACACACAACCACACAGTAGGGTGGGACAGGGCGACAGTGTTGGGTGGAGGGACAGAATCTTTGTTTATCGAATCAACACCAAATACATGTAGCAATCGAAATGATTCTGAACCTGTTCCAGATTAGGAATATATAAAGTCTGTCTTGAAGTTGTGGAGTTACCTGATATGAATATGGACAATAAATTGTATTCGAAACGTTATCCAGTGTGTTATACTGTTCCTTCACTGTGTGATATTTCTAACAAACAGAGTAAAATGGAATTACAATCGACCACAGTGTCCAAGTTTTACTCTTATATTATTGGTTGCTATCGAATGACCAACTATTGAATCTAACGCAGTCCTAAAGGAGGCCAATTGCGGTCAGAATAGCTCAGTCGTAACTTCAGTGACAACGAAATTGGGTGACGCGTGTTTGAACCTCAGACGGGACATCCGTCCCCTCAAGGATGTAGACGAGTGCCAACAAGTACGAAACCTAAGTAAAACGCAGCTTCTTGTCGATCACCTTCAATCAACTAACATGCATCAATGTGGATCGCGATCCTGAGCCTCCTAGCTCGATAGTCATATTGTAAAAATGAACGATAGAAAGGCGTCTGCACTCAGAACTAGACAACATGAAATTGGTTGCTCTTCAGTAACAAATCACTGTACATTACTACCATTCAAAATAAAGAATTCGATTGCAACAACTGAAAGGTAATTTCAAAAAGACGTGAAGAATACAGAAAAACTTTCTCTTTAAGTGGTTCAGACTATATACTGAATCGTGGATACATAAAGTAAACGAATCGACAAATCCATACTACTTTTTTCAAAAGAATTCGCCCGTAAAAACGACATTTTCAATGATACCATTTTAAAAAATTTGATTGTCCACAAAATCCCATATCCAATGGTTAATCCATAAGGTTAACTAAGAAAATTTCTACTTATTATGCACATAAGCTTAGGCCTTCATCAAAATCAATCCAGAGGCAGCAATAAGTACTTGGAGTTTCCGCCTGCTTCGTCTTGTTCTAACTTCCTAATAGCTGGAATGAAGGCGTTGGGGCGAGCTTACAATAAAGAGTTGAAAAATTCGTTCTAGTGTATCTATTTGAATACAGCGTATGGCATTCTTCAGTCTACCATACTACTGAGGCGATTCGTTATAGATAGATGAGCCTCAGAAAAAAAAAACTCAATTTGTAATTACGAATATACATGAATATATACATTTATATTAAGTTAATAGCTGATAATAGAATGATCCTAGACCATTTGACCAACAGAACAAGAGACATTGCTGTTCTACCCCGTCCCACTTACCGAGGTTCGGGGTCTCAGGTAGTATCACTAACCCTCACATAATTGGTATGGCTCACTCTTTACTGCATGAATGTCTACAAGATAGCTGAGTACGTTTTTTTTTGAGTATGTAAATTAAACATAACAACAGTATAAGAAACAGTGAATAATTCGGAAAATAAATAGTGATTTTACAATAGATACCAGTTGGAGGGACAAAGCGAACTTGAGAGCACTGGAGAACAGCTGTTTCGTCCTAGTATGGGATTCCTTAGCAGTGAGCACCCACGACCCCACTGTCTAGGGACCGAACCAACGACCTCCAGGTTACGCGGCCACCACGTTACCGCTGAGCCACTGGAGCATAATCCAGTGGTCCATATTTTTAACTTCTGATAGCTCACGATATGGCGCAACCGCCACCCAATGTCATCTTAAGTAACTGCACTCAATCCAGAATTATCAAACATTTCTAAGCTTAACAAACCGAAAGTTTTGCTTCTATCATTTCTTTCAGGTAAAATCGTCAAATTTATACTATTATATATTTTATTATTTGTCTGTTGGGTTCCTAGTGGAACAAAGGGTTTCAGTAGTACATCTCCATTCCACTCTCTTCTCTGAAATCTTTTCAACCTGGCTCCACGACAGCCCACAAGCTCTCATTTCTTCCTCGCACAATCTCCTCCATGTCACCCTCACCTCGGACACCCAACTCGTCGCTTCCCATCTGCGTTCCACTCGACGGCATGGCCTGACGTGTGATGTTCCCAGTCGGTCTTCTCAATGTATGCCCAATCCATCTCCACTTCTTTCCAGTGCATATTTGTTGAGTGACAGCTTCTTGGTTGGCTCTTTACCAGCCAGCCAGAGTGACTTCCTTGTTGCTTATTCTTACTATTCTGGTCATCTGAGCTTCAGTAATGAGCGCAGGCAGTTGTTGATGAATGTGTGTAGTTTGCTGGAAATCCCTTTCGTAACGCGCCAAGTCTCCCAACCATCACATGGAAGCACTGACTTGGCTGAATTGGTGTTGAAAATCCGCATCTTGTTCCACATGCTGAGTGAAGTTGATCACCACACTGGTTTCAAATTAATAAACTCCTGTCTTACTTTTCCGATCCTGGCTGCCTTTGACATCCTCGTCTGTGCCACCGTCTGTAGCTGAAACAGTGCCGCCTAGATAAGTGAAGGAGGCTACTTCCTTTAAGTTTCTCCAGTTGATGGTGATCGGAGCTTGTTGTTGCTGTTGTCGTTGGTTGGATATCTTCATCATCGCCGTCTTCTCTACGTTCACTTGAAGTCAATCCCGTCTTCGCTGCCCTACCTCACATCTTCTGTCAAATCGCTAGTTTTCGCCTATAGATCTTCAAGTTTGTGTGATATTAGACACAAGTCATCATCGGCGAAATCCAAGTCATCTAGGTTCTTTCCCACCGTCCAGCGCAACAATAGATCATTGATGGAATGGACAGTCATGTAATATCATAGCCCTTAAGATTTGATTGACATCATTTCTCTTGAGTAACACATTTGTGACAAAAACACTCGTAAACAGAACACCTACATACTTAATTCATTAAAATGAAAAAGTGCGATAGATATCTTTTTGGCATAAATTGCCTTTTACGCAACATCCACTTTATCCTGTACAATCAATCAAATACAATACCAAACGCCATTTTAGTCTGTTTATCAGAAATGTCACACAGTAAAGGAACAGTATCATTTACTGCTCAAGTTTTACTCCAATATTCATGAAACATATAATCTTCCCGATTTAGAAACTAATAAAAAAGTTACACGACTTTAACAGACACAAACCACTGTATCTTTCAATATTCGATGTCTCAGAAATCAAATCATTCCTAAATATTTACGTCGACACGCATCAATTCTGAAGACAGAGGTGATGAAGATACTTAACCAACACCACCACCAACAACAAAAGGCTCGAATCACCATCAACTGGAGAAACTTAAAGGAAGTAGCCTCCTTCACCTATCTAGGCAGCACTGTTTCAACTACAGGTGGCGGCACAAACGAGGACGTCAAAGCCAACCAGGATCGCAAACACAGCAAGACGGGCTCTCACTAATCTGAAATAAACAGTGCGAAGATCTACTCAACTCAACTCTACTCAACTCAACTCAACTCCACTCCACTCCATTCCACTCAGCATAAAGCCTGAACAACATCCGGATTTTCAACATCAATTCAGTCAAGTCAGTGCTCCCATGTGATGCTTCACAAACTTCGCGTGTCACAAAAAGCATTTCCAACAAACCACCAACATACAGCATCAACAGCTGCCACCTACGCTCACTCGATACTGAAGCAAGCTGAAGATGGAGATCAGATGGCCAGAATAATAAGAATAAGCAAGAAGGAACTCACTCTGACTGGCTGGCTCGCAACGAACCAACCGAGAACCTATCGCTGAACAAATATGCACTGGAAGGAAGTGGAGATGGATTGGAGTGGGCATGCACTAAGTAAACCATTCGAGGACATTACGCGCCAGACACTCGAACGGAACTCAGATGGGAAACGACGAGTTGGGTGTCCCAGCTGAGAGTGACATGGAGGAGATGGTGTGAGGAAGGAATGAGAGCTTGTGGGCTGTCGTGGAGCCAGGTTCAAAAGATTGCAGAGAATAGAATGCAATGGAGATGTACTACTGAAACCCTTTGTTCCACTAGGAACCCAGGGGACAAATAAAAATAAATATATAATAAACATGCACCAATTCTAATCGACAAAATCAAAGCAGCTCATAGAACGTGTCAGTTGAGTTCTATTTTAAAGAAGAAATTCTTAGAATAGTCAAAACGTTGAACAATATCAGGAATTATATCGAAGAATTTAAATGTAAGCAATTGGGAAAAATGATACTGTTCCTTCACTGTATGACATTTTTAATAAACAGACTAAAATGGAATTACAATCTATCACACTGGTCAAGTTTTACTCCTATAACACACAAACTTTATAGTAGTTTATTAAAAATTGATGTTGCATTCATACACAAAATATGATACGCTAATATTTCATATAAATGACACGAATTGTGTATAGAGCAGGAGTGAGAAGAATAAGTTGAAAAAAAAAAAGGTGAAATATGCACAATTTTCACGAACCAACAACATAAAGGAGAATACCAGTAGCAAAGAAAAAGTGTAAACACACATGTCCACTCAAAATTGAACAAAATGGAAATTTATGCAATGACATAGAATTCTGTGGAAAAAACAACTACATAGACAGATAAATATGATGATATCATATCAATTTCTATGCATATTAGATATTATCACAGGGGTTAGTGCATATAACTCACAAAACCAATAACTTAATTTGATAACAAAGCATAAGATGATGAAAATGTATGTTCAAAAAGTTAACTTTGCCTGCCTCTCTCTCTCTCTCCTAAATATCCAATCTCTCTATTGTAGCAACAATAAATAACCATGACAGACTATTAAGTCTTATATGTATGCTGTGTACGCATGAAAAAGAGACATAAGGAAAAACCATACAATTAATACTATAACAGATGTATGAAAATCGATTAAAGAGGATATATGAAGGAAAATTTACAACAACAAAAAAGTTCACAGCGTTTTAACAACTGGCACATAATGATACTTAGAACAATAATATTTTCAATTCTTCGTGTCATATTTAATCCACTTTAACAACCCCATAGATTTTTCTAATGAACCAGAAACATGCATAGAAGCCAATACAACCTAGAAATTAAATAAATATTAAGGGTAGGGAAATTAGAAATATATAAAAGTAATACTAAAGATGAATAATAACAATGAAGCGTAGAATTTTGTAGCATTCGGTGACACTAACTACGTGATATGTAAAGTTCAATCAATTCAGCTATCGTAAGTTTACGACCAACCACAACTACTGAACTACCTTTTTCTTGTTTATTAGGTCATAAATTCAATGATTTCTGAACAGTTGTTGTTGTTTGGTGTTTGTCCCTTGGGTTCCTAATGGAACAAAGAATTTCAGTAGCACATCTCCATTGCATTCTATTCTCTGCAATCTTTTGAACCTGGCTCCACGACAGCCCACAAGCTCTCATTCCTTCCTCACACCATCTCCTCCATGTCAATCTCAGCTGACACGCCAAACTCGTCGTTTCCCATGCGGGTTCCACTCGACGGCCTGGCCTGGCCTGGCCTCGCCTCGCCTGGCCTGCCACGTGATGTCCCCAGTCCACCTTCTCAGTGTATGCCCACTCCAATCCATCTCCACTTCCTTCCAGTGCATATTTGTTCAGCGATAGGTTCTCGGTTGGTTCGTTGCGAGCCAGCCAGTCAGAGTGAGTTCCTTCTTGCTTATTCTTATTATTCTGGCCATCTGATCTCCATCTTCAGCTTGCTTCAGTATCGAGTGAGCGTAGGTGGCAGCTGTTGATGCTGTATGTTGGTAGTTTGTTGGAAATGCTTTTTGTGACAAGCGAAGTTTGTGATGCATCACATGGGAGCACTGACTTGACTGAATTGATGTTGAAAATCCGGATGTTGTTCAGGCTTTATGCTGAGTGGAATGGAGTGGAGTTGAGTTGAGTTGAGTGGAGTAGAGTAGATCTTCGCACTGTTTATTTCAGATTAGTGAAAGCCTGTCTTGCTGTGTTTGCGATCCTGGTTGGCTTTGACGTCCTCGTCTGTGCCGCCACCTGTAGTTGAAACAGTGCTGCCTAGATAGGTGAAGGAGGCTACTTCCTTTAAGTTTCTCCAGTAGGTGATGATTGGTGCTTGTTGTTAATGCTATTGTTGGTTGGGTATCTTCATCATCGCCGTCTTCTCTACGTTCACTTGAAATCTCGTCTTCGCTGCCTCGACTGTTAGTTTGGTTTCCGAACAGTATACAACATAACGAAGCGGCATTCATTTAATCTACCTTGATATAAACTTCGTTTGTAATTACAACCACACAGTCCATCATGATTTTACTTTATTCCTATTTACAAGGTAATTCTCTACATCACGAACTGACACTGAATACAGGACTAGTGGAAACAAGTGAGAATTGAGAAGCGTTCAACTTCTTAGCAGTAACACACTTATAATCTGGCCAGGTGTCGAACCCAAAACAATCAGTTCCCGCAGTGAGAACATTACCATTCAACCAGTAGGTTAAAATCTAGTTTCTATATTTGTACAATTCCGTCGATTCGAGGTATTGTATGACCATCACCCAAAGCCATCACTGAGTACTCGTCCTCACATCGAATTTGGCTGAGTTTAAAAGTCACAACTTCTCATCAGAACTTCAAGGAGAAAAGAAGAACAATATGTTTATTGTCTACTTTGTTTGCCTATACATTCAGCGTTGCCTTCGCATATAGAGGTTGGATGAAAGGCAGAACCATTAGCAATAAAAAATGAAGCCACTGACTAACTCAGCTTAGCTGTGCACAAAGACACAATCATGGAATCAAGAGTGAGATCACCATTATTTGCGGCTAAACACATTCTATCCAAGTAAAACAAACGCTTATTTGTATAAAAGCAATACAGTTTTATCCGAGATCAATACTTTCAGTAAATAGTGGAGAATATTTGTAGCTCAGGTGGATGGTCTTGGTTGTATTTTGTTATCTGAGCTGAGTTGTTTACTCGTGGAGCTTTCGTCTTTCTAGACGACATCAGCATTAACTTTAATATGAAGTGAGCTGTCAGTATCTCTTCGTGAGTGATTTAGTACCTTACCCTGACGAAGTGGTTTGAAACTGGTTGTTTCCTTTGATTTCCCTGTTGGTTGTGCCTCTGCTTGACCACTGACCTTTCTGTCGTTTATCATTTTTCTCATTGGTTGATAGATAGGGTCTGTCTATACACCTATCGACTGCTGACTGATCTGAATGCCAAGCTTCTAGGAATTCTCTGAGATTCGTTGTGTTTCCCCTCTTTATCCAAAATTTCTTCATTGTCAAAATTGAATTCATGTCCATGACTATCCACATGCATTGAAATGGGTGATGAAATGTCATGTGTGACGTTTAATAGCCAATTGGTATTCACGTAGACGAAGGGGAAGAGAATGACCACTTTGTCCAATACAGTTTTGACTACAGCTATTGCAGTTGATTTTGTAAATAATATTCGGTTTATCTTCTTTGTTGGTTTATAAGCCACACCAATCCCGAATGGTCTCAGTAATCTTATCGTGACTTCTGACATGTTCTTTATGTACAGCAGGATGATGCGTTTGTCGATTTCTGTCGACGACTTTGTTGATGATGTACGGGATAGGTATCTTCTGATAAAGTTTCATGTGTAGCCGGTCTTCATTAGGATGGATATACAGTAATTTCCTTCCTTTCTCAGTGAAGTTCTACTGCAATGTGTTCTCGTTCTTTTGAATAGAGTCTGCACGCAACTGATCTTGTGGGTTGTTGCTACTGTAGTTGAGGATTGATCAGTGTGTGTTGGCTTCCTATACACTTGGGTTTCTAGCTTTCCGGCATTTGTCCTACTGACTAAAACATCCAGGAATGGTAGTTGGTTGTTTGACTCCTTCTCCATTGTTAATTTGATGTCATTGAAAACGTTGTTGATCAAACTGTGGGTGTTTTCTATATCATCTTTTTTAATGATGACAAAAGTGTCGTCCACATAGCGAATCCGAATTTTCGGTTTGATCATAGGTAGAATAATAGCTTCCAGTCTCTACATCACTGCTTCCGCAATTAATCCGGATATTGGTGATCCCATTGGAGTTCCTTTCATTTGTTTGTATATCTTGCCATTGAATTGGAAGCATGTTGTCAGGCATAGGTTGATGAGTCCTGTCAGACTTGAACATTTAAACTTTGTGCATTTTGAATGATTTGTGTCTTCATTGAGCAGGAGGGACATAGTTTTCTTGGCCAATTGAGGTTCGATGGATGTATCTAGAAAGACGATGAAAGCTTCACGAGTAAACAACCCAGCTCAGATAACACAATACAACCAAGACTTTCAATAAATAATTACGCTGAATAAATGCAATTCATATGATATAACATGATCGTACACTTGCAGATGAAAATGTCAGTTCCTGTCATATGAAGATTTCAACAGAGCAGTGTCTAATTTCACAAGCACAAATGATTTTGAAAAGCCTGGAAAAGCAACACAAAATAATTGATGGTGATATCATAGAGAGTAAGTGTGAGACTACTTAAAACATCCAATCAAGCTGAAAACCACTTATGGAGGAAAACTGGAGGCAGTCTCATGAGTTAAGCTGATATCCCTCTGTCGCCAAATCCTATATATGTAGCTTAGTAATATATTATTCAGCCCATAATTTTTCGGAAAAAAACTGGTACATTCACTTGTGCTTGGATCGTATGAAGTTAATGCTGATTATGTCGTCCAGAAAGAGGATGAAAGCTTTACGAGTAAACAACCCAGCTCAGAGAACACAATACAACCAACAATTTTATATATTTATTCAGACCTTTTGCCTTTCAATGTATAATTGTTGAAAGCAATTTTGATCAATAGGCAAATATTTATTCATATTTTGCTCATCATTAATTATTTTTTTAACTAAAACATTAAAATTACTTACCAGTAAATAAAAAGTTAAGCCATAGAATGATGGTTATGTATCCAAAGTAGAGAAACGCTGAAACTGCATCCCGGAATTCTAAACGTGTCACAAAATAATGCATAGAATATATGAATAGATAGAATGATGTTCCAGCCCCTGTATACAATGAACGCCACCACCATCGATAATCCTTTGATGAAAAAAAAGGAACAATACAAAATTATCACAATTTTATAACAATAAGGCGACTCAGAAAAATCACAATTAATAACGAAAAAGAATATCTTGATTTTGTCAATAACTATCCCTCGAAAGTATTTCATACATAATAATCTACTGTTGATTGTTTAGGTGAAACGGTCAACTTCCAATCGTGATCGGTCATAGGTTCGAATCCCAGCGAGATTTGTGCAGCCAGTATCACTAACTCTCAAGAAACACATGTGCCTCATTGTCTACTGATCAAACATACACTTGGTTGGTGAGTATATTTCAATTCGAATCAGTTCGCTTGGGCAAACGAGAAGAGGAGGAGGAAGAAGGAAAAGAAGAAGAACGAAATATAAAATCCTTAGTCTAACCGGAATTCGATATATTTCTTTTGAGTATTTTAATCTGAAAAACAGTTGACAATGAGATAAAAAATTTGATCGATTCTGGAAACCTAAGCTTTGAAAGAAACTACTACATTTGAAAAGGAAAAGAACACTTGATTGCGGTACATGTGTTAACAGAAAGGTTTGTCGTTTTAGCCCACCCCGGGGGGGCCAAACCTCGCCTGGTTAACTAGTTCATTAATTACTAGTCAGTCCTAAGCCCAGATAAACAGAGAAGGTTGGACATACGGCTAGCAACCCTACTCCAGAAAACCAATCCAATAGATAAAGAAACTTCAAATCACGAGGAAAATGTAAAAAATAAAAACAAACTTATTCCTCGCTGGAATCGGAGAAATGAAAGGACGCCGGTTGGTGAAAGCCTTCGGAAAGCCAGTCGGCTGATGTGTCTTCTCTTCCTCGATGAAAGCAAAAGTAAGGATGGGAACATGCAATGTCCGCACCATGTATGAACCTAGCAAGGCTGCCCAGGTTTCAAAAGAGATGAGGAGGTATGGCATGAAAGTGTTTGGAATCTGCAAAAGCAGATGGATTGGGAGTGGACTCTCCAAACTCTCAACTGGAGAGTCAATAATCTACTCCGACATTGTCACCCAGATGACAACCACCAGCACATTGACTTTTGGAATGGCTATCATGATGTCCCCAACAGCATCGAAGACTGTCTCTCATGCAGTGGGAACCAATCTCCTCCAGGATCATAACAGCAGGATTCAACTCAAAAGGAAGGAAAGTCACAATCATTCAATGCTACGCGCCAACAAATAATGCAGATGAAGAGAAGGAGGAATTCTATAAACAACTGGGAGCGGACAAGACAGGAAGACAATCAATCATGGTTCGAGACGTACTCGGTGAAATGATGAATGAGAACGGAGAACTGTTTGCAGAATTCTCCGCATTCAACGATTTGGTGATTGGAGGTACTGTTTTCAAGCTCTTTTGAGGATATCCACAAAGCGACATGGATTTGATTTCATCAGACATCAGCACACTACAAATCAGATTGACTTCATCTCAATGTGAAGAAAGTGGATACACAGCCTACTTGACACAAGGTCAAGAAGAGGAGCAGATGAAGGTTCACACCACTCACTATCTAGTGCAAGGAACCTACCTTCAAAATTAGGCTGAAAGCCTCAACCGAAGATTGTGATAAACCACAGTTCAAGTTGAACATCCGGAACAGAAGCGGAAGGATGAAAAACTACAATGGACATCTTCACGTCAGTCATCAGGAAAAAATAGGAGATATTGAGCAACATCCCTGAGGAAACCTGCGTGGAAGAACACTGGAACTCTATGAAGGAGGTGTGGAATGACTGTATTATAACCGTGTTAGGAAGGAAGAAAAAACAAGACAAAAAATGGATCTCGACGGACACATGGAAGCTGATAGCGGAGGAAGAGGAAGATGGTGAATCAGAAGATGAACCAGTGCAGTGCACTGCAGGGATGAACAACGAAAAGAGGAACTGAACACAACCTATAAAACACTACACTGGGCAAAGAAGTGAAGAGTACGCGGAAAGACAAAACACACTTCCACGACACATTGGAAAGTGAATCAGAACAGGCTTCTGGTAGGAAAGACCTGATATCATTATGTCAAATAATCAGTTACTAGCCGGGAAGAGATCAAGGCAGATGAAACCAACGAAAGATAGTGAAGGAAAGCTAGTTATCAAAGAGCCTTCAGACAAAAGCAGAAGTCCTGAACGCCATAAAGTTGCTGAAATTCGGGAAAGCAGCAGGACCAAATGGAATTCCTCCAAAAGCACTGAAAACAGATGCAGAGACAAGGGCGATATGCCCACACCGCTACTACACAAGGTTTGTGGGGAAGGAAGGAAAGGTACCTGCTCATTGATTGGAAGAAGGGCTACCTTGTCAAACTCCCAAAGAAGGGAGACCTAAGCGTTTGCAAGAACTGGCGCGGAATCATGCTGCTGTCCACCCCAAGCAAAATATTATGCCGCATCATCCAGGAGAGAATAAAAGATACGCTGGATACAAAATTACGACCGAAACTGGCTGGCTGGCTTCAGGAAGAACAAATCATGTGTGGATCAAAATGCAACGCTACGCTGTGCATCATCATAGAACAGAGCATAGAATGCCAGTTCACTCTCTACCTCAGCTTCATCGACTTCGAAAAGGTCTTCCACAGCGTCGACCCACAAGTAATTTCACAGGCAGCTGCTTCAACACTATGGAGTGCCACAAATCTTTATCCACCTCATTCAACAACTACATGAAGAAGCCACATGACAAGTAATTCACAATGGAAAGCTCAGTGATGCCCTTGAAGTGAAGACAAGAGTAAGACAAGGCTGCCTACTATCACCCATGATATTCTTGATTGTCGTCGACTGCATCATGCAGCAAACAGCGACGAGCGAGAACATGGGCATACACTGGCTAGACCAATGAAAAGACCCTACAAGCAGATTTGCATTTCACCCATGATCATTTACTTTCCAATTCCGCACAAAATCGAAGATCTACAAGCGAAAACTAACAAGTTGAAAGAACAGGCAGCAAAAACGGGAATTCAAGACAACCTAGAGAAGACGGCAATGATGAAGATACCCAACCAACAACAACAGCAACAACAAGCACCAATCACCATCAACTGGAGAAACTTAAAGGAAGTAGCCTCCTTCACCTATCTAGGCAGCACTGTTTCAACTACAGGTGGCGGCACAAAAGAGGACGTCAAAGCCAACCAGGATCGCAAACACAGCAAGACAGGCTTTCACCAATCTGAAATAAACACTGTGCAGATCTACTCTACTCCACTCAACTCAACTCCACTCCATTCCACTCAGCATAAAGCCTGAACAACATCCGGATTTTCAACACCAATTCAGTCAAGTCAGTGCTCCCATGTGATGCATCACAAACTTCGCTTGTCACAAAAAGTATTTCCAACAAACCACCAACATACAGCATCAACAGCTGCCACCTACGCTCACTCGATACTGAAGCAAGCTGAAGATGGAGATCAGATGGCCAGAATAATAAGAATAAGCAAGAAGGAACTCACTCTGACTGGCTGGCTCGCAACGAACCAACCGAGAACCTATCGCTGAACAAATATGCACTGGAAGGAAGTGGAGATGGATTGGAGTGGGCATACACTGAGAAGGTGGACTGGGGACATCACGTGGCAGGCCAGGCGAGGCGAGGCCAGGCCAGGCCAGGCCGTCGAGTGGAACCCGCATGGGAAACGACGAGTTTGGCGTCTCCGCTGAGATTGACATGGAGGAGATGGTGTGAGGAAGGAATGAGAGCTTGTGGGCTGTCGTGGGGTGGGGTGGGGTTGAAAAGACTGGAGAGAAGGGAGTGTAATGGAGTGTAATGGAGGCGTAGTGCTTAAGCCCTATGTTCCACTATGAATCCAAGGGAAAAACAATACAAACCCTAACAATAGAACGTGAAGTGATTGAGTATGTTGAACACCTCATTTACCTCAGAAGTTGGACCAGCCCTAGTGGTTCAATACCCGACGAAATCTCTGCACGGATACAATAGACTCAGTTGGGTCCTGTCAACTGAAGCCATCTGTGGCGCCGCCGTTTTATCTTACTGTCTATTTAGGGTCGAGTATACTATGCTGCGGTCCGCTCTGTTCTGCCCTATGGTTGTAAAACATGCCCATTGAAGGTAGGAGATATGAGGTTTCAGACGTTCGACCACAGTCGCTTTTGTAGCATAGGTCTCGTTCCGTAGTGTCACCACGTGAGTAAAGCAGAAGTCAGGTGTAGAGTTTCAGCGAGGAGAGGTAAGACAGTTGATATAGTTGTGAACCTTGGTTGACTGTGATGGCTGGCTGGGATATGTGTTACGTATGCCTAACAACCATCTGCCTCGTCACACAATGTTGGCCAAATTAGGTTCAGGCTGGAAAAAAGCTCAGGGGGATCAGACTAAAACAAACATGGCAGCAATGCATGAAGTCCTTGACTGTTTGTTTTTAACCATGCAGAGCAACGCAGACTAGCCGGTTGGGGTTCGTTAGACAAGAGAAATTGGTGGTTAGAGACTCCAGGTGATATGGATTAGAATCGATGTGTGGCGCAGACGTATTACACACACTGTTCTCATCTTAACCGCCACACTTAATCTCATCACTTTCTCATTCCTCCTTTTCCTCTTTTACTAGTTTCTACTTCTTTTGACAGATTTTTATCCCTTCCTTATCTTCCATTTTATTGTCTTGTTACTTGATAGTGTAGCAACGTGCACCGTTACGCAGTAATGCCTGGTACTATGTTGATCTTGATGATGTGTTAAAGGACTCTGACACAGCTTCAAAGATAATTTTTTTTATTATAAATAATTACGATTTCGAAAATAATGACAAGGGTTGTCTTAGTGTATACTTTACCGAAGTAGTAGCGAAAGCATACACATTAGAAGAATAAATAGAAAAATCCTTGGTTGCATTTCTTAGTATACTCGAAAGAATTTCAGATTCATAGGTGTATGTACGTATCTTCACTAATGGGATCGCTCGTCAGTGACAATGGAGATGATGTAGATGATAAGTGGGCATTTAGACTTATTAGCAAGGAAGTGACTTCAAATTAACCACATTGCCTTAAAAGCAATATCTACCATCAGATGACTTAAATCAAGACTATACAATGAAAAAGAGTCGATCATTGGTTTTCCATTACAGTAGTAAACTTTTCTGGTCGTATAAGATCATAAGACCTACCCTTTGTTAGAGCATTTCTGCTTTCTACTCAACGTATCCTTCGTGTTAAGAGAAATTCTTCTCATGATATTCACCTAACCAATAAGGAATTCTTCATATCTGCAGAAAATCTTTATTTTTATCGATTTCTGCCTTTCTCCCTCCCCTCTCTTACATTATCTCATAAATAGACAACATTTCGATGATCCTCCTAACTTCTGACTCCAATTTATCTGGTTCGCTAACATTATGATTCCTGTTAGCCAGGACCAATTATTAGTATTCTTTATCCGTAATCTTTAATTTTTTTTAGGTCGCAATCAGCTGAGGAGAATTTCCGAAATAAAATTATAACATAGTACTTTGCTTCAAATGTTACTCTAACTTGCTTTAAAAATCACTTTGCATTGGCAACAAAGTAAAGACCAGTTAGAAAAGCATTCGAAAATAGTTCTCACCTAAATAGACTTATAACACAATTATTCTTTGGATAACAAACAAATATAGTCGAGTATACTGAATAAGGTACTTTTTTCTAAAGCCTGTGATGAAACAGAATAAAATAATAGAATGAGCTAACAGTCATCGGTATACTACGTTTCCGGTCCCATTTTTTATCTAACAACCAGTAGCAGTATTCAACCTTCTATAAGAAAGTGAATGACGTTGAATATGACCTGGAGCTTCGACAGTCTAAGTTCGAATTCCTGGGTATATCAACTGCATATCAAGATAACAAAAAAACTTAAGTTCATGAACAAATTAGTCATATCTGAATTGACAATATGTAAAGTCATATCACTAAAAATAAAACATATTATGAAACACTCAAAACTCACCTCTCCACACAACTGAAAGTAACACATCAGTATAGATGTCTCAGATATAGTAATAACAAGCATAATGAAAACAAGAAATAGAAAACCAAACATATAATAGAATTGTGCTCCCCAGATGCTATTGAATATAAAGAATAACTGGATAAATATACAACTGAATGGTAGTAATCCACCGACAAAAATGCCATCAATGGTCGACTACAGAAACTTTGATATGGTATTTGTCGTGGTATCTGGTTAGTACGAACAGGAGTTTCATACACCTGAAACAAAAATAAAAAACACAGAATATTATAATTATGCAAATCAAGTTATCTTCTCAATAGTAGAAAAAACTTACAATCTAGGATGAAGGTGTAAACCGTTTGGCGTTCAACAGTACGTTCCTTAAAAAATGATCTCAGGTGGAAAGTTAATGACATTACGAATTTTAGAAAGAAAGAAATGATACCAGAAACTGTAAAGAGACGAGTATGCTATAAAACCTTCACAGTTTACGGTACAGATATCCGCTTTATTTATAAAGCTCTTGATTACACTTTTAAAACTGTTCTGTAGAACAAAAAGCGTATTTTTAAATTCCTGTGTAACACTACTGATCAAAATATGTTAAGGAACAGAGTTCTAATGGGGATTCTTCTTAAACTGAGTAATAAAACAACTCAAATGCAAATAAGCAATCATAAATTCAAAAATAGAGGATGAAATACATTTATCGTGTTACAGTCAGTTGCGTGAGACAAGATCTTCTTAAAACATACCGATTGAGACTCGAAATCAAAATGCTCTCAGCAACCTTGTGCACATTCTTGTCATAGGTAATGAGTCACACCTATTTATAGACGGCTAGTGATACCACCTGACTGCCCAAACCTCAGTAGGTGGAAAGGGGTTCGAACCCGTGACTCATTGGTTGAAAGACATTTTCATAAACCAATGACTCACAGTGTTACACACTCAAGACTTGGACAACTATATCGGTTATCAACTGGTCGGCGATTCTTGTGAATAATCTAGTCCTACAGGAGATTTATTCGTGGCCTGATTAGCCTAGTGGTTAAGTTTTTGACTTCATCACTGAGTGACAAGTCTGAATCTCCGAGGGAACACTAGTTTCCTTATGGTTACAGAGATATTTACCATCAATGAGTGCCAACAAGGATGAATCCTAGCTCCAGGGCTTCCTACCAACTCACTTTCAACATCCAACAGTGCACTGTGCAGTGTCACGTTACTTCCGTGGTCGACAGACTTCGACCAGTGCTAACCATTCAGGAGTAAACAGTTACTATCGGTTACCCACTGGTGACCAATTTCAGTAGACAATTTCATTTAAAAGGTTTGGTTGATTTATCATTATAAACACACACAATACTGATAAATTATTTGATCAAACTAAGGTGCTTTTTGGCTTGATTTACAAAAATGTTGACATTTTTTCAACAAAATAAACTTTTTTTCCGATACATGGAAATGATTACACTTAGGATAGATAGACAAATAGATAAAATCAACGCACATCTTCACACAAAGGTACATTGGTTCAAACTGCTACAATTCAAAGTGTCATGAAAAGAAAAAGTAGACAGAAAAAAATGATATTAAAGTAGACAAAGGAATGCGGGGGAAGAACGAATTCAAAACATCTAAGCTTGAGCAGAAAGCAAAGAGTGAATACGACTACACCAGTGTAGATAAATTCAGCCATGTCACCAACAGTTTCCAACCATTCATCCTCATTATCTCGATGACCCCAACCCGACGGTTAATACCTATCTCTACACAGCTCAGACCGACAGTCAGTCTTCATCGACTGATGCCACATCTTCGTTTTTTCGCCCTGAGCTCCGTTTTAACCTAATCTAACTTCTCTTAACACAGAACGTTGAGGTAGGCAGTGGCTCAGCATGCACAACGCACGACCAAGCCTCCTCAGTTATTGAAAGGTTGACAACCTTATCGGTTGACTCACTTGTCTTGTTTACCACTCTTCGCCGGACACCGACAATGCAAACATGGCGACTCACCATCCGCGAGAACATCGGTGATCGAAATCTTGTAACCGTTTCATATGTTCTACTTTTAACGGCCATTCTTTACAGCTGTATGACTTGGTAATTCGACAAAAGGGTATCTGCCATAAAATCTGAATCACACTCAGGATGTGAAGTCAAGAATTAAAGGAGCCACATGTAGCAGTTGTTTAATGCCCTGGATGTTGCCTTCTGAATAAATAAAGCGACTTGGCCAACTGACGAATAACAACAGTAATCAGAAAACACGTAGTTTTTATGTGCAATGAAATGATGAATGAATACATAACATAAGTACTAATTAACATGAACACTGAAGAAAAATACACTTCGCCAAGCACCACGTTTGATAATATTTTACAATACATATACTTACTGGTCGCCTAAAACCAAAGAATGCTCCAAGAAAACATAAAGGCAAACTGACACACAACCATAATGCCAGAAGCGCCACTATAGTACCGAATGGAGTAGCAGTGGCACTGCCTAAAATCCATAGAGCAAAATTTAAGATCAGGAATAGTGAGAAGACGAATGCAGGACAAACTGTTGCCGTCATTATCACATTTGTTTTCCATCGTAAGCCACCGAAAAATTTGTAAACTCTAGCCGATACATAACCTTGAGTATTTAAAAAAAGTAGTAAATCTCAATTGAAATCCGACAATAATAACACAAAAAAAGATGAATTATATTTGAAACTTGTTACTAACTATCAACATTATTACTCAGTTTAACTCATGACTGACAGATTGACTAAAATACACAAGATAGTCGAGATTTGTATTTGTAAACCTAGTATAACAATGTATAGTAATGATGGGCAGTGGCTAGCAGTGGAATCCAGAATGCGCATTTCGTCCTATTTGGGACTCGTCAGCTGGACGTACCTGCTGCGCATCCTGGATTCCACTGCTAGCCACTGCCTATCATAACTATACGTAACTAAAACACAGGCAATATCGAGGCATCCACACAGCAGCCCATATGCCAACAGTGACTGATCGATTCGGTCCAATCAACGACGGTGTAATACAAACACCATAATACTAATATGATAATGTTACAAAATCAATGATAGAAACAAATTTACTCTGAATTCTGTTCATTTAAATCCAAAAACATGTTATTTTAGGTTCTCCTGTGCCATTTTTTGTCCTAGCTCATTTATGTTTCAGTATTTTTTTAAACTTTAGTTTTAGCGGTGTTGTTAATCGTAATGCCCAACTCATAGAAATGTACAGCTTTGATGGGTTTTGTGTTATCTAAGTAATCCTATAGTTTCACCGTATGATAAATCTCAATAAGTCAACTAAGATGGAATTACTCACTACTTTCTGCTTACATAAACGCATAGAAAACTATAAAACGATTTTAGGCACTCTCATAAAGACTCGATGTGTATATCTTTTCAGTTTTGAGAATGTGAACGATACAGTATAATTGTATAGTAAAACACGCTGCATGAATCATACATAAACACAGTTTATGATAATTATCTGTAAACATGGTATGATGATTGAATCATCAAGGTGTTAGGAGCATTTATCCTTTAAAAAATCACTTGAAACTATCTGCATACCAGCAGTTGGGGTTTTGAATCTGGCTTCACCTATTTCGGCCGAAGCAACTGAGTAGTATCATGGAAATCGAAAAAGGTGGAGATCCACTTAGCAACCATGTGTATCTTCGTCCATGTGGAAGGCAAGAAATTACACAATGTGTGACAGTTGTCCGAACTTCGACAGATGGAGAGGAGTTCAAACCTGTGACCAACTAGTTTTAAGTCGAGCGCCTAGACTAATGACCCACAGCTCCTACAGTAATATCATAACTCCTCTCAGAGCCTAGTACATAAACTTGTACTGGTCTCAGTTGCACAAAATGGTTTATCTTACTGGTATGCAGAATATGCCTGAGATATTTTAGAACCAACCCAAAGTTTGTCTGGTTTTATACCCGATGGTGCGGATTTTTTTCTTTTTCTCTAGTATGAAAGTACACGTAGTTGCTGAGTACATTTCACTTTGGTTTGTTCATCGATAAAAAAATGCCTAGTGATAGAAAAAGTTGACCTCAGTGAGAGTGGTTGTACCACAGTAATATGTAAATGATGAAAAGAGGCTACGATGGAACTGATATATTATTATCAAACGAACAAAGGAACGAAACTCAAGTAATAACATGATGAAGCAAATCATCTAGGTACTTCTTCTATAAACTGTTCTGATTTCCAATATGAGTATAAAATTACTTGGCAAATTTTAGCATACACTAACCAACCACTATAATCAAATGCTTTACTAGCTTCACACGAAATGCAACTCATCACCCATGAACTAGTAGGTTATGAGGTATTTATGCTTCACGTTTTAAACATATGGTAACTACTATAAGGCACACCTATTGCGTAACGATTAGTGACAATGGTTGCTCAAACATCACTTTAAAGAAAAGAGTTCGATAGAATAACTCATCGGTTGACAGTTGAAAATAGAGGACAATTAACTAGCTTCACGAATACATACTTATGTAATTCAATTTGGAGGTTTGTAGGGATTTATTCATTGATTTCGAGTTGGTATTCATTACAGACTGAAATTAATTAGGAGAGTCATTTGAAATCTGGCACCACAGGACAGCTATTTCGTCCTAGTATGGGACTCTTCAACAGTGCGCACCCATCGATTCAAACGCCTAGACGTTATCCACTAGGCCATGGGGGCACGATAGTTCCCGTGGGAACACTCACTGGAGCGCAGGTACATCCAGCTGACGAGTCCCAAATAGGACGAAACGCACGTCCTAGATCCCTCTGCTAGACACAATATAGTAAATTATCATAATTAATATGAAGGCAATATCGAGGTATCTGCATAGGAGTCCATAAGCCAAGAGAAGTCCGACAATTCGATACAGTGAAACAAAGGAGAATGACAAGCATATCAAAAAAGATGTATGTTAGTATCAAATTGAAACTGGCAATGTCTTCGGTACCAGCCTAGTTGAGTTGTTTTTTAAAGGTTAACATATTCTAATCCATAAACTTCTGAGTCTTCGGATCGATCTCAAAGCCTTACATACATACCAGATTAATGTCCCAAGAACAGAAAACGCAGTGTGACAGCTGTCGACTACTTCTTGGTTTTCGAATAGTTTTTCAATGCCTATTGAATCGTGACCAGTTTTGAAATTGTTAAAGTGGACAGACAGTATTACATCATAGAGAATAATATTAACAACGATAAAATCAAAGATACCTGCAGATGCGCCTAAACAAGCAAATAAGGCCATAGCACAAGTCATCAATGCACCACGATTGGCTGGACTTAGAAATCCAAGGCATGCAAAAAATAAAGTGACCAATAACATTTGAAAAATTTGAACTCCTGAACCAACTAGAACAGAGAATAACATGCACCAAATAGGTGGACGAAATACATCACCATGCACCAACTTCCAACCAGATTCCTCTTGAACAGCAGTCTACAATATATACATATCAATAAATATATCAAGTTAAATATGATCAAAAGAAAAAGAGGTTCTAAAGAAAAAAGGAATTTACATTGAAAGAAAAATTCAACTGAAAGGTGAAAACACTTACTGCACTCTCAAGCTCTGTATAACGAGCTATATCACGACGCAGTGTACGCAACATAATAGTTGCAAGGAGACCAGAAAGAAACAGTGTCAGCACAGATGAGTTTAAAATAGATAACCATTGAATGTTACTCTGAGGCATTGTGTCTAAAATATAATCCCAACGTGATGACCATTTACGAGTTAAATCTTCCTATAGATGAAAAATATGCAGGAGAAAAAAAATAATTAATCACATAAAAATCCACTAGCAACAAACAATCAAAACAAAAGCGATGACAACACGAAGAAAGGGTTAAATTATTGGACAATAAATTGTTTCCAAAAGACTAAAAAAGCTTTAGCATAATTGCTTGTATTATACTGTAGTTGATTGAACCGAATTGATCGGTCTCCATTGGCATATGGGCTCCTGTGCAGATGTCTCGATATTGCCTGTGTTTTAACTATATATATAGGTAAGGGTGGATAGTGGCTAGCAGTGAAATCCAGGAGCTATTCATCTATCATTCGGTATTGTTTAGAAACGAATTCATCCCCTTCTTCTACTGTTGATTATTGGTGGTCATATTTTCAAGGGTTCCCAGTAAGTGATAATGATAAAGTATCTCTATATGATGAGGTCTTGCAGACAACTACAAATGTTTAGGTTGTCAACCAAAGTGAGCTCAAGTACGTAAACAAAGAAGAAACAGAAACTTTCCATCATATAAATCACTCGACTTACCTGTCCCTAATCCTGGACATAACTCAATAGGAGTATGTGGTGAATATGACAGTCTTCGTAAACGTTACAGTTATAACTGGCATAAGACAGTCGAAATTAATGATTTAATGCCTTTTTAGTTGGTTGAAGGCATCGGCAGGAAGTCCTGTTTGGACTAATTTTAGCCCTTGTTGGCACTCCTCCTCAAGGCGCATTTACAACCTCTAGGGAATTGACATCCCCTGTGAGATTTGAACCTGCGTTATCTAGTGTTGCAGTCAGCGACGTTACCACTGAGCTATTAGGGCAACGATTGACCTCCTGTAGGACTGGATCAGACAAATTAACTGGTTACCGGAGAGCAACCAATTTCATCTTGTATAGTCCTGATCGAATCCTATAGGTCATTTCGCAGTGTGGCCACCAAGCTAAGCATCACCATAGCAGTGCACTCTGGTGGATCTTAGTTGAATGGAACTGATCGATCCGGCTTTGGAGATACGTATCACTGACGAGCTCCAACAAGCACGAAACAGGTCTTCATGTCGATTTCCTCCAACCAACTAACACTTACCAAAGTGTACCCGCAGTTCTAAGCCTCCTATCTTGGTGGCAGCACTCCAAAATAATCGATACGATTAGGTTACCATTCAGGACAAGACAAGATGAAGTTGGTTGCCTTCCAGTTACCAGCCAATGTAATTCAATGCCTTTTATGCTGTTCTTTTTAAACACAACCAACTGGAAACAGCTTTTTGCCCTAAGCACTAAAATAAACAGTATATGGCGCAAGTATTCCTAAATTCGGTGCTCACATATATGGACACAACTATTTTGAGTTTATTCGTCCGGAACAGTGTTTAACAACAGTGACCCAGCGTTGGAATTTACTATTGAGAAGGAATTGGAATCAACTATTTCTTTCCTTGACGTACTGATTACGAGACGTAGCAATGGAACGCTGAAAAGATCCATCTACAGGAAACCCACATGGAATGGACAGCTTACTAATTTCTATAGCTCGGTGCCGATGATGACGAAGAGAAACTTCATTCACTCATAATGCCATCGAATACGCACATTTGTAGCACGGGATGTGTTCAACTTGAACTTGACTTTCTAAGAGGGACGCTCGTGGAAAACGGCTATCCTAGCCGATTTATGGATAAGAATATGCCAGAAACACATGCGAAACTATTCACTAGCTCAGTTTCTAAAAAAGATTTTGTTCATGAATCTGAACTTCAAACGTGATGCAGCATCAGATTTCCTGAAAATTTCGTCTTTCCGGATCAATTAGTAGGATTTTTTCCCAGCCAAACTTCACTTGATCTTTACCAGTCGTAAATTGTTCTCCGTTTGTATAAAAGACAATATCCCACGACAGGCCACATCCATGTGCATCTACCAGTTCACCTGCTCCAATCGAGCAAGGTATATCGGCCATAGAGATTTCTGTCAACACGTATACGAGAACATATTCCGGCCTGGTTTTGTAAGGGTGAACAGAAATGCATCATAAGTTCTATTCTTGGGCATTTAATCGATTCTAACCGTTCAACCGACCCAAACAAGGATTTTAAGGTTGTCTATTGAATTCGCTCAAACACCTCACGTTCCCTCCATGTTCAGCTTCTAAAAACAGCAGAGACCTTGACTATCCATAAACTGAAGCCTGACCTTTGTGTACAAAAGAAGTATGTACAGTCTTTGTCTCTACCTTGGCCTTAATTTATTTTAGTGTTGGCATGCTTCGTTCCCTTTTTTCGTTTCACACCCCCTTCCTTTTTGTCAGATTAATCTTTGTACTCTTATATCGTCATTATCCCTTCATTTTTATACTTAACGGTTTCCGCGACTATTTCATTTGATCTTCCTAACAATTGCAACTTTCAACAAAACATTTTCAGTTTACTCCAGTTAACCTGCTCACTCATACTACCTAATATTTTGATTGTTTATTAACGTTCTCAACCTTTTTTTAATCTATATGCACCTTATAAACGATTAAAAATCTTACGTAACCCTTTTTGTTATCATCCGACCTTTACGTCATCAACTAGTAACATTATAATTATCACCGCCATTATTATTGTTTCAACTCCCCATTATTTAAGTTAAATCCTCCTCATGGATTACAGTCTTTAAATATATACATATATATACGAACGTACAGCTTGAAAATAAATTCGTTAAAAAGAGTCCTCTTCGCTGAATATCTCGTTTTTGATGTCACAATAGGAATTATGAACGTATTGAAAAGAGTTGTAGATCATTGGTTTAGAAAGATGACTTTCAACCAGTGCGTCACAGATTTAAGCCCCGTTCCACCTACCGAGAGGTTTAAGCAGTTAGGTAGTATCGTTAGACTTCATACACAATAAGTGTGGCTTATTACTTACTGCACAAATAGGCACAAGGTTCCCGAATGCATTTCGATTCAAGCAGAAAGAAAAAAGACAACAGGCTAATGCTGTAGTGTTACACAGAATGGCAGATACTTTAATTCAGTGTTTGTTAGCTTACAACAACCAACATGATGAAACAGTGATTAGTTTATAAGATATCATCATTTTTCTAAAGAAAAATAAAAGGTGACAAGTAAAAGTCACTTAGATTGCCTTCATCGTATTCACTGCCTTAGTTTTCGTAACTTTTGTGCCACTTTAGTGGAGCAATAGATACGAAAAGTCACTGTCTAGACAGTATATTAACTGAATGTATAAAAAGTGCATTACTAGTTATCGTGTCTTTGAAACCCCATAATGATGGAAGGTGTTTTTGTCTAGATACAAAACTCTTGTAACACTTCACTTACTTCAAATGTCACACTGTAAGTATATGTAATCTTGAAATCATTATTGAAGTTTGTCGGTAATATTAATGGTCGCCTTGATGTGCAGTCAACTTCTTTGTCTGAATGAGCAATACTATGGACAAAAAAAAACAATGAGGACAGGATTAGACACATGAATTATATGAAGGTATCATAAGTGTTAAAAGAGAGGAACATTTATACACATTTACTGAAGGGATATGAAATAAATAACAAGAATTAAGAAGAAATTGAAAATCACAAGGTTTTTAGTCATTTTTCTATTTTTCATGACTTAGGTGCACGTATACCGGCAGTTAAATGACTTTGTAAAAGATGATGTAAGTATTCTGGTATCAACTGTGCCTTAAGTAATTCAACGGTAATATCCAACAATAATACAGAGGGATAATTTAATTTCCATTCTGAAGGTGTCCAGAAAAAACCTGCATCTCGTTAGCATCTTCATCGAAGAGAACTATTTCGTCTGCGTATTTTGCGACGAAATCAATCTGTGAAGTCAGATAGCTGAGAGCGAGACTTCCACAAGCATGTCTATAAATAAGTAACAAATAAAGTGGAGGTGGTAGATATCTTTGATAAACACCACTTAACATGTACAGCTCATCCATATACCTTGTCATAAACTCTAACAAAAACGTGGGTGTTCAAATAAAAAGCTTTCAGTAGCATGATGTACTTACTAGGTAAACGCTTCAGTGAGAGACATCATAAAACATTTTGATCGACGCAGTAGAATACCAACTTTAGATTAAGAAATACAACTAATTTCGGCGTCCGTATGTGTGCCTGTGATCCAAGATTTAATAAAGAGTGAAGATGTAATCAATGCACACATGATCAGGTCAGAAACCTGCTTGATTTCTTTTCGAAATTGGTATTCCCGAGCTGCAGTTACCTGATGGATGACCGTAGAACATAAAATCTTAAAAAATATGCTCGTCAGCCAAACTTGTTTGTTTTGACAAGAGAATTTTTTTCTAGAAGAATGAGATAATCAACGACTGAGACCAGAAGGAAGAGGATCATGTATAATTCAGGTAGGTTACAAACCTTCTTACTAAGAGGATTTCAACACAGATCTAAATATTACGTCCGTACGCGGAGAAAGGTCTTAATATCTAGTACGGGAAGTCCTTACGGCAACCTTTCTAACCTTTGCTTATGACAAAGGAATGTAGTATCAGCGTTTAATGCCAGTCACCCACCAGAACCACCTTAATGCAATCAGACCACATCCAGTTAGAAGTGCTACTTTACCCTTAGGCATCAGTTAAAGAGTAAGTGACTTACAAAATAACGAAAACTACTATTAGTTTTACCATTATCCAACAGAGTTTCCTGACATGGTAGGACATCAAGGAACAATCGCCTCAGCCTGAAGAGCTCGCTGGATCATTGTGATAATCAAGCTTCACAATCACGTCAATTTAGTAGCTGCCGATCAGGAGACATTAGTTTTATGCCATATCTTGTAAGATTCGACCACTAGCATCACGACCTCATATTTACTCACATAGGTTAACGCTAACAGAGATCGACTTTGTGGATTAGTTAAAGTCCCAATTTTAACATCCAAAAAGATTCGACTGCAAGACCAACAATAGCCAATAAAGGAACAAACAGTCACTATGTCTTACCTACGAGGGCTGGCGATCACTGACAAAATACGTCCAGCTTTGATATTTCCCGCACTACTCCAAGAATCTTTAACCGGATGATACACAACATGTAGATCGATGTGATTTAATAAGATCACGTCCTGTTTGCTCATTGGCTAATCAAAATAACATATATATATTAAATTAGTCATAAATTGGAACGGTATTTACATTAGTTTACTTAAGAAGCAGAAAAGCACTTATTGTTATAATTGAGGAGTGAAGTTAGCTGGCTGTAATCAAAAATGAACTAGAGTGAAAAACCAATTTTCTTGATCTAGCCAAATCAAGTGAGTATCAAGATTATCTAAGTCAATCAAACGGGTAGCATCATCAACCCTAATACACAAAGTAATCGCCATTAAGTGGCGGATGACGTTTATGAGCCAAGGCTTAGAAATCCAGTCTTTTCGGTTACGAACAGCTGGAGAAAGGGTTTGAACTACACTCTATCTATTTCATCCTGAGCACACTAGTATTATTATACACACTCATGGACCAGATGTGGATCGTGGTGTAGTATGCAAACCTGTTCAAGATTGCTCGATTGCATTATCATATCATTTAATTTCGGGGTTTGTGGAAATTTGTTGATTTCAAGTTGGTATTCATCATGAGCTGATACCAGTTGGAGGAGCATTGGGAACCTGCGAGCACTGGACAACCGTTTTATCCTAGTATGGGACTCCTCAGCAGTGCGTACCCATGACCCCACCAGGGACCGAACCCAGTACTTTCAGGTTCCGTGACCAGCACGTTACCATTGAGCCAATCTATTTAAAATGGACCAGCCTCATACAGGCTGGTCCGTATACTCCTACAGGCTAATGCCTGTCTAAATAAGCTTGAAGTAGGTTGAGTGTCAGGACTGTGACCTAATTATTAATGACCAAACACCGAGATTATCGAACTACAGATCAAAAATTTACCATCCATATACACGATGTAACGGGCTATGGAGTTACACGGTTGACATACCGAATCCAACTGTCCTCTAGCTATAAGCCACACATACTGTATGATGGGGGTTTGTGGTATCACCCAGTTACTCAGGTCAAAACAAATGGAGGGACGTTAGAAACTAGGATTAATTACTTGAAGATAGAGTGCCAATAGGGCATACCTCCATGAGTATTTACTGCCTAAGAAGTGGCAAGACTATAACGTTTATGCAGTCTCAAAAAAGTATCAAGCATGGTGTACGACATATATTAGACTTAGAAAAGGTGAATGATAACACTTTTCCTCGCAAAACCTAATTACACAAACAATGAATCATCGAATAAACAAGATTATGGAGCAGAGAATACACAACACCAACAACCTACTCTCATATCTTCCAAAGATTATATACTAAGTGATTGAGAGAACAATACAAAATACGAGAACGCTACTAAACGCAATGAGACACTTGGAGTGAATACGAATAGTAACTGTTCTCCCTTAGATCTGATACTTCGGTGAGCCGCAAAAATCAGAAGACCGACGACTGTGACCGTAAGCAAGACAATTTATTTGACGAAAACACGTCATTTATGTACAGCTTTTCCTCAGAAAATAAATCTAACAGGTCAGAAGTTGAATACTTATCTTGGTTGGTCAGCTGTAGGACAAAACTGTCCAATAAGGTCTTCTCTGCCCACATGATACAAGGTTAAAATCCAAAACTTCTACCTTGGCGATTGATGACCTAGAATGCTGACTTCAATTTGGGTCACTTTCTATCACTAAGCTAAACATTCGATTTTTCACAGGATTCCTATCAATAGTGTTGAGATAAACAACAATTCATAACTTCATAGGTGAGTGCGATATCTTCATCTGATCACCCTGAGGCTACTTCTTACTTCTTGAGTTGATACGCGTTTTTCAAAACTCAATGATCCGCCTCAAGTTTTCAAATTTTGGCAGAAAGTCCACGGTTTCGACTTTTAGTTGATGAGTGCTTCGGAAACAGAAGGTATATATATATATATATATATATATATATATATATATATATATATATATATATATATATATATATATATATATAAGTTGATTACAAACGATATTCATCAAGTAATGCACAAAAAATGAGTAAAACAACTTACCATGCCTAAACACACTGAATCAGACTTATCTTGATTGCCACCATAACACCCCAGGGGAATAGCAGTTTTACAGTACTTTTTCCCATCTACAGCTTGTACACAGAGTGTAACTGGCAAGTTATCCATAACCCTTTATATAAAGAAAAAAAGTTGAAACATGTAAAAGTTACTGACTGTAATCTGATGGTATGCATACCAGTACCCACCACTAGTTGATACAAAATATGATAAGTGGAAACGTCTGCTTTATCTAGATGACTTGTTAACCTTTTACTGAATATGTCAGATCAGGTTGTAGACAACACACCAAGAGAATAAAGCATACTATTAACTGGTGAGGAGTTGGACTTGATAAAACAAAGGTAAATATCTTAGTTACAACTGATCTCTTTCAGCAGCAGACACTGATTACAAACGAAAGTAAACATAATACATAGACAACTACTGATGCAAGAATCTCATTTTGTATGTAGTTTTTGTAATTCATAAGTGTTCACATATCCTACAAATCTGTAAATAGTAGAATAGGAAATCAGCATAAACTGCAGATCTGATGCATACAGAAGTCGGGAATTCAGGTCAGAATATTATTCCCTAACATTAGGAAAATAGGACGAGTGAACACATTCTCAAGAAGCGAACATTGAAAATATTCATAAAGAACAACTGGGACAGAATTGAATTCACATGGTTTATTTACAAACTACTGATTGCATGCTATCATCAGTTGACTTATATGCACATCTGGTCAACCATATTTTAAACTCCTCACAGTGTTGGAAACTATCAGATGAACAGTCTCCAAGCAGAGGAATTAATGATTGGAAACTTTTGATGACATGGCTAGAAATTGGTTACAATGGCGAAGATGTATTCACTCTTTGATATCTCCAAAGCTTGAACATTCTCACTAATCTTGATTTTCCAATTCCTTTCCCAACTATACACTTTTGTTTACTTTGATAATAGTCTTTCCCCGGAGCCGTGGTTCATTGGTTTGGGGAGATGACCTTCGATCGATGGGCCACCATTTTAAACACCGTCTCATCTATCAAGATTTGAGCAGCCCTCACACACGAATGAGCACAAGGTTGCAAAGTGCATTTCGACTTTTTTTCCGCTTACTCTTTGCATGCGAATGTGAAGTGTGGCAAATTGAACCGATGCACTTCTGTGTAAGGTTCGACATTGTCTGTCTGTCTGTTTGTGTGAACATTAGACATGTCTGTTTACATTCTAACAGACTAGCTTTTCAATAAAGTCTCTCATCATAGTCAAAATCAGCAAATTAGATATCTAAATTAGCTTAAGTTGGTTAAACTAGTTGAGTAGACGGTTCGTACTATGAAATGATAACTAGATTAAGAACTTGAAAACATACAACTGCAACTTATGACACTTTTATGACCAGTGGGATAGTTGATTTCTGACGCATAAACGTTGTGTACTATACTCACAGAAAAAAAGTAAATTTTAAAGAAAAAGAGTATCTGGAGACAACTCTGTCCCTTCCTGCCACTTTTCTTCTGCTTGTGGCATTTCATTTAGCTATATGTCAAATAAAGACACGTCGACTGATCCCATTATCACAGAAAAAGCAATTCACTGGCTTATCAATATTCGGTATATTTTGTATCTGAAGGAGGAATTCAGTAGGGAAAAAAAGATTAAACAGCAAACCGTTAAAGCAGGCAAGTAATCAATCAATCAACTATCCTACTCAGTAAAAACAAACAAAACTTTCCCCGCTAGGCTCAAATAGCTTACCAATGATGTTCATAACCCATCATAATCGCTTTGTTGATGAATACGTATTGCTTGTAATTAACAAGGGAATACACTTTTGTACAGAGAACTTTGCATGTTTCTTCCTTGTTGAAATTAATCTAGAATAATGTAGGGGTAAAAAATAGTTAAAACTTTGAACAATGAACCAAAGACTGCAAACTAAAAGAAAGACTTGCCGTTATGTCATCACAAGTATTCAGTTCTTAAGAGTCCCCTGTTTTTTTTTTAACACAGTGTATGCACTATTACCACATTACTATAAAAACATTTCCTTCTCTACTACATAGATACGAGTTCACATTTAGTTGCACATTGACAGCTAAATCTCATAGGCAATGCAGCAGATTTTACCTAGAGCTTTGGGAGTAAAAGTAGTTGGGTAGGATTATTCATATTATCAAATCATGCAAATTCAGCTAAATTTAAAATGATAGACTCTAACGGGGTAGCTGATTTAGAGGATAACTCAATCATTGTTGTGCATGTGCTGACAGGACGGTGTACAGTAGCATTCCTAAAAGGTTAGTATAATTAAGTAAAGGGCTAGTCACTGAGTCTATTCACCGAATTGATGTTTACGAAACGTAAGGGAAACGATAAGAAACCAAGTTCAGATGTGCGTGAAATTCTACCAAAAATGATATCAAAGAATGAGGAGCAACCATAGCCAACAAGATACGCTCAAAACATTACGTAATTAATACTGTATTACTGCATTCCAGCCAATAAACAAAATGAAAATCGAATTATACCGTACCACAGTACCCAGTTCCTACTCCTACATTAAGCTCAGTGCACAAATTTGGATAGTTTAACGAGTAGTACTAGGCAGCTAAGCAGATACGTTCAGGTGAGCGCATAAAGTTAAGAGTTAGTGACATATTATGTGACTGCTCAATCCTCAGCAAGTGAAGCAGAATTTAAAACTTCGACTTGATTGCTAAAAACCAAATATTTTACCCATGAGAAATGTTTCCTTGTAGTTATAATATGCAGCATAGTCAATTGTTAATATCTGGTGTGCATGGTTATAAACTAAAAAATCGGACTGACATACAGAACAGCAAGTGTCCTTTGAAGGTTTCCACTATTAGGCAAGCAATGGAGACTTTAGACGTTAGGTTCCAGGTAATAATAACATCATTAATGTACATCAATCTAAGTGTAAAACTTGGATACCGTAATAGAATGTAATTCCACTTTAGATTTATTTCTTAGATATGGCACACAAGGATAAAGTACTCTTTACTTGACGAAGTTTCAAGCAAAAATTATTGCTGACAATTATATTACAGCTGCCTACGCTCGTTACTGAAGATCAGATGGCCAGAACAATAAGAATAAGCAACAAGGAACTGTGGCTGGTTGACAATGAACCAATCAACAACTCATCGCTCAACAAATATGTAGAAGAAAGTGGAGATGGATTGGGCATACACCGAGAAAACCAATCGGGGACATCATGCGCCAGGCCAGGCCCTGGAGTGGAACCCGCATTGGAAACGATGAGTTAAGTGTCCGAGGGTGACATGGAGATCATGTGAGCAACAAATGAAAGCTTCCGAGCAGTCATGGAGCCAGGTTCAAAAGACTGCAGAGAACAGAGTGAAGTGGAGACGTGCTACTGAAACCCTACGTTCCACTAGGAACCCAAGGGACAAATAATATAATATAATAATGACACAACTTCCAACATCTGATTTTTATAGTCCTATCACCTCGTATTCAATGCAATGTATGCATTAACACACAAATACACAACAGGGCGGGATAAAACAACTGTACTGAAGTTCAGTATAGTTAGGTAAAGAGAAAGATTGATTACCGATTCTTTATTCATCAAATCAGTACCCAACAAAACACCTATACCAGAGGTATGGAACATTTTACTGCCAGTAAAAACAGAGAATGCGAAGTGATAGAACCATAAGAATCGGATGTCGGAAGTTGTGTGATTAGACTGATATGATTATGAGCAATAATTTATGCTCGAAACGTCACCAAGTAAATAATACTGTATCACTGCGTTCTGTATATCCAATAAATAAATTTAATGTGGGATACAACTTAACCTGGTACAGCTGTATGTACTAGGCTATAAACTACATTTGTTGTATACGAGCTCATGATAATACTGTCATCCAGAAAGTAGGCATGACAAGGTCCGAACCTGTATCCCGTTACTAGAAAGCTAAGTAACTAAATCACTGGGCCACATCCAAAAATAGGAAAGTTAGGTTAGTAAACGACAGATTGAAATGATAAGGTAATGCATTAGTCATATTTGCTGGACATTTGTTAGATAAAGTTTTGAATGACTGAGGGATTAGATCATATTTAAAAGTTGCGAACGCACTGGCTGCCAATCCGAGTCAATAAAAAGGGAGTGTGACCGACTGGGTTAAAGCCATAATGATTATGAACAAGCCACTATGTAAAGGAAATTAACAATTTGAAACAAAACTGGTGAAAGCTAGATTTCTTCGATGGTCTACTTAGATTTACGATGTCTTAATTTCGAGTTTCTACTGACCTTCGCCTTACAGAGCTTAGAAGTTTGGTGGCACGAACAGCAGTACCCTCATTCTAAAATCGTAGCCAAAAGAGCCGTAGTGGGGAAAGTGATAACGTTTTTATAATCTTCAAGATTTTTTCCCGACCCAACCAAAATCTAAAATGATACATATTAACAGCACTAAGAAAGCGAAATAAAAGGACATTAGAGACTATAAAATGCACCCTTACATTACCTCATAACTGGAAGGTAGTAAACGCTCTCCAAAAACCACCTGTCCAATATTTTCGACAGGAGATGGTTCTGACGACAAACTACAGAAATCAAATCTAAATTAGAAATATAAAAAGAGGTACTGAGTATAACCCTGGTTTAATGTGTCAAGGAAATCTGAAAAACGTGAAACACAGTAAGGTTTGAGAAGACAGTAAAAAACATTAGTGTATTCACAGCATTTTAGAAAAAATTTATAAAAAATCAAAAACGAACTAAACAATCATCTGGGCAATATTTAGGACAAATTCTTTTGATCGTCTGTCAGTTAGCGTTCATGAAAACCACACCATCAAAGCCCATTACTTTTGACACAACTTAATGGGAATTTCGTATGAACAACATTGTTGACGCAAAAATAGAAGTGGGTTATTGAGAAAACTTTTAAAGAGGTATTCACCACTTTTATTTTACTTTTCAGTAATAGAAGAAACAAGAAAACCACATGATTCCCACTGGCCTTGATTTCAAAACAAGTGTGACACCATTTAAAGCAAGCGAGTTGCATTCTTTCGGATAATATTAGGGGGTTGTGAAGCACCCACGCATGACAGTCTAACAACGATCGGTCATCCTACGGAACTACATCATACACTGAAAATATCTGTACTTCTTATGAGCGGTTCCAGGACAAGTGAACAGTCACTGCTATGAGAGCCACTGGGACAACATGCATGAGGTGTCCCAGTCACTAAAGCCGGTCTTTTAAAATAACCAAACACAAGTCGCCTCACCTCAGAATTACATGGTGTTTTCGATGAGTGCGACTAGTCCTACGGCGACAACAGTGAATGAAAACGCAGTATCCTTAGCTCAGAGTGGTCAGATTTTACAGCAATAGAGAGATACCGGCGTTGTATGTATGACCTTTAACAGTGAAATTAATATCGTTTGGAAATCTCTTCAGTCACATCACCAGCACCAAAACAATCACCCAAGTGCGCAAACGTTTCAACAATTCCGAGTGATTTACCCCTGAGAGTGATTGCAGGCAAAGGGGTTCTGCCAATCTTGTAGAAGCATTCTGCAATCCGATGATGCAAGTACTTACGGACGCTGGTCGCCAACTTACTGAGTGCAATTTGAGTAGCCAGGCATACAGTAAAAGAACATCGCCTGCATAACCCGCACACTGTATGTACAAAGAAATGTAAGATGATGCTCCACGACTAGTCTCCAACTACTCCCTACTTAGTGATAGGAAATGAAGTAGTGGAATGTCGACAACTTCATTTACTTGGGAAGTTGCATCAGTCCGAACGGGTTGGTTGCTAACGAAATCTCAGCTTGAATAAAGAAGGCCCACTTGGCATTTGCCAACTTGCATCAACTGTACCGTCCACTGGCGAGATATCCGACTATCAGTCAAAGGAGTTCGTTCTGCCCGTTTATACGGCTGAGAGACAGATAGGTACAGATAGGTTGGTCAGTGATGCTTACACTATTTTTATCTCACTTTGCCACATGCCTGCTAATATAGGCCTGGCTTTTCTCTTACGACCACTTACGGTAGAGTGAATTACTCAGTAGTAAGATCTGTCCAAAGATACAACTGCGGAAGTTGTAAAAACGTAAGTAAATTAGAGCTTACACAAATTTCACGCACAGAAAATAACAGACTAAAATATCTCCCTTTCTGATTGTCGTATACACTTAAATTGGAAAGAAAACATTGACTATAAAGGCTTATTGAACGATGAGTCTCCACGTATTTTCAGCCAAACAAACGGGTTTGGAATAGCAAACCTGAGAAAAAGGAACAGGTTTCAGACTTGGTCGTGAGTGCATCGACCTGAGATTCACTCTTCGCCAAGTTCTGGAACACAGGCAATTACCGAAACCTGATGCCGGTTGCACTTTCCAACCTGAAGGTGAAATTCGAATTCATTGGGCTGGAGGTCTCGTGGCAGTTTCATCGAAAGGGGTGACAGGTAAATATATCAACCCGTTGGAGTGTCAAAGACAATAGTGAGTTGTGTACATCGAGTGGTATCTATCAAGGGTGTTCATTCGCTCCATTTTTATTTAACTTTATCATAGACGTACCTATGGAGGCCTCCCTTTTATCCGCAGACTTTAATGAATTGGCCTCGTCGCAAGAGACTCCTTAGGTGAAGCTGTTAGGCGAAGCTAACAACATAGTTTTATGGATACATCGAGTGGCAATTTGAAATGTTTCGGACGCATTTATCTAAGCCGAACGCAAATTGTTACTCTGGGACTGGCCCTCGCCGGTGCCTTGTTAAAACAATAAGGCCGAGCGTATCAACCACTTTGCTACCTGAGAAGTCAATTCAGCCCTTATGAGTCAGTGAACAACGAAATTTCTACATGTATACAAAAGGCTCACTTACCTTTCGCCAACTTAAGCCATTTATGATGCCACCGTGATATCTGAGTGTATTAAGGGTCGAGTGTACTGCTCTACAGTTCGCTCCATCTTACTACATAGCTATGAAACTTGGCCATTAAAGAGAGAGAACGCGAAGAAGCGTCAAGTGACCAATTACTGTTGCCTTTGTAGCACAGGTCATGTATCGTGGTATCAGCATGCTAGTAACGAAGTCAGTAGTGTTTCAGTCGATGACGTAGTGAACCTTCGTCAACTAAGGTGGCTGGGACATATGTTACGCAAGCCTAGTCACCATGTGTCCTGTCGCACAACGTTGGTTGAAGTATGTTTCGGCTGCAAAATCATTAAAGGTGGCCAAATTAAAACATGGCATGAATCTTTCAAGTCTTTAACTGTTGATCCGAGACATACATGGAAATATAGACTTCCCGGTTGTGGTGAACGCGACAACCAAATGACGCAGATATATCCACACGTCGTTTTCATTCTAATTGTCATACCGCACTTCATTACTGTCTCACTCTTTCTAACTCTCTTTTGACAACTTTCTACTACTTTTGACTGATTCCTTTATCCTTCAGCTTGATCCGTTTCTGCTTGGTGGGTTGATACCTGGACTGCTAAGAATTAATGTTAGGTTCAATATGGATATTCCCCGACTGAAATTGGCAAGAGAATTAACGTGGAACACAGAATAAAGGTAAATCACTTCAACTTGCATATCTACAGTAACATACAAAGAAGTGGATAGAAAAAGGACGACAGGAAATTGAATGAATAGAAGAATAGAACAGAATTTCGATGGCGATGACCGTATGCATCTGTGCCGTTATGATCGACTTTGAACCATGTCACCAACGGCCTCCAACCATTGATTTTTATCATCTAAAGGACCCCAGGCAGGCAGTTTGTTCCTTTAAGCATGGCTTAAACCAACATTTAGACTTCATGTTTTGATGTCACCACTAGTTTTACTTCAATGACCCTACATCATATAACATCATCCATGAAGGAAGGCGGTAGTCAAGCACAGGAAACACATCGTGAAACCACCTCAGTCGGTAAAGTTTCAAAAACCAATATTTCCATTTTCCTCGCTTTAGGGAAAATGCTACACTAGTAAACAAACTAATCGCATGCTAGTGTTCTAGACAATAAGCCAAATTGATTGTGAGAGCAAATGATACTACCTATCTGCTCAAACCTCAGAAGACAGAGTAAGATTCTAACCTGTGGCACACTAGTTGGAAGTTACTCACCTAAACTAACGAGCTTTCGAGTAAATGAATTCTAGCATAATTACATAGGTAGATCAAATATACACTTTTTAAACACATACGGCCCACTTCTAGACTAAGTGCATCCTGAATGAAACTGAGCGGATACTAAAACATCTGGTATTTATCTGCCGCAAGCAGATTCAACTCAGTGAAAAAATACAATTAGGACGCGAACAGGTTTTAAAATCATCTATTTTTTACTGTCACAAATAGTTTTCCCATCGCTTAACCTCTCTATTGTTAGTTCTATCCTCCAATGTCTGAGTGTCGATATGAGTTGCTCCTCAGTGAATACATGAGATATAGTCCAAGGCTCAACCGACGATTTAGGTGGATTTTATTTATAAGTGAATTTCACCCATATGTGACTGCGCTCTGATCATTACTCAAACTTAATCAATTACTTTATGCGCCGTTATCATGGTTAAAAATTATCCAATGCTTGCGCAAATTCACTCTCTGAAAGGAAAGTATGCTACCACAATAATGTCTTCCACTAATTCGTGGCTGCATATATACAAGCATTTCCCTTGATAGATAAAAAGCGCTTCGCAATTGTCTTATGCATTGTGCTATGGTCGTTCTTGGCAGCTTATACGGAATCATTAGAATACAAATTCGGAAGTGAGGGGTCAAAATGGTGAACATGAAATTACACAGAACTAACAGATCCAAACAAAACTGAGTGTAGAAAAATGACAAGTTATAAAACCACAACAAGGACTCCTCTAGCTAAGTGTCTTCTCCATGGAAGTAGTCTTGCAGAAATGCTTACTGAGGCACGCTCCTATCATTCATAACCACAACACTTAAAAGTGGAAAAACGATTTTGTTGCGAAGAAACAGGTAAGCATAAGGGACTTACGTATCATAACGGAAAGAGATGAATGACTTCTTTGAAGTTAATTTGTTAACGTATACAGTGATGCGAGACTGAAGAAAGAGAATGGTTAGGTTACGAAGCAGTACCTTGCAATAATTATCACTATCGGCCGGTGCCTGGCAGTAGTTAATCGGAGATATCCCAGGTAGGTACCACGCTTTTATTAATGTGACATGTAAGATCAAAAACCACGCTAAAACCCAAACTACCGTCATTTCTTCGATCGTCTGACGGAATCTTCAGATATTTCCTACGCGTCACAAACAATCGAAAAGCCCTCCTTGGTATCAAACTTCAAACCCAGTGTTGATGATGAAATGCAGACACTTCCACCATGCTTTACAAGTAGTGCACCCGGCATCTGCTTTTTTCAGATAGTTTTTAATTTGAGTAGGTTTGCAAACAATCAACATATGGTTGGGCTTCCCGTAGTGTCCAGTAGCGTCAGCCACTTCTCAAGGATCAATAGCCTGGGGTTTGACGAGATTCAGCATTGACGCTGATCTTCATAGCTCCACTGGACTCGCCAAGCTGAAGGCACCCGGCCAAGCATCCTGGCCATTTGGCACGCCGTCGTGTCACGTTGCACTGCTCGTAAGCGATCCTCCAGCTAATCAGTTGGAACGCAACGGTATCTTGGGACGACCTCGCAAATATACTATTCAATCCGACTACGATATTCTGTTCTTCCTTAGTCTCGTGTTCGTGAGCATATAAGGAGTTCGAATAATTAGTGATTGGCCCCTGCGTCCGTCAATTTCGCACCAGGACAATTCCTAAATTGGTGATCCCGACTTGATAACATATCCCGACCAAGAACAAATCTTAAATTGGTGGGCCTGCTCCATTTTTTAGACTTGTATATTGTTTTCATTTTGATGACCTTCATATATCCTATACAACTCCCTCACGTGTCCGACCTTACCCCAAAACTTATCCGTATTAAGCCAATGGTGAACACTATCCAAACCGCACCACACTAGGCAGACAATTCAGAAACATGGTTTGTGTATGCCCAGTCAGATTTTCGAGAACAAGGAGTCACAGATTCTCATTCTAAATTTCTTGCTGTCATACGTTCACTACCGCGGGAGTTAAACAGGCATTTTACAACGCATGTATTTAGTCCTGGAGTAAGTGATCCTTAAGCACTTCGCAAAGCTGAACTACTGAAGGAAAGTAATCTCACGGATCCCCAGCGCCCAAACGAACTGCTTCGTAACACCGAGCTAAGCAGCAACTCAGCCAGTGAAGTCCTCGCACGCATGCGAAAAGTCGTGGGCTCATGAACGTTTGATAATGGCCTTTTCCGAGAACTGTTCCTCTCGAAACTACCACAACCGGTGCAAACCGTGTTGGTGACGCTCCGGTCAGTTCCACGCGATGAGCTGGCAGCCTCAGAAGATAAAATGCTGGATCCACCCGTAGATGCTCGTCGTCAACGACTAATAGTTATCTATTGGCGGCACCACTTACGTAGGTCCAAGTTTGGCCGTCGTTAGAACTAAGCAATCAGGTGACGTTTCCCATCAGGTGGTGCTAGAGAAATATCCAGAGCAACAACAACTGACGCATACTCTTCCGTGCACAGCCAGCAATGTTATGAATCATTTCACAACCCCAGGTCCATCAGTGGCTTCCAAAGCACGCTGTATAGCCCCTGAAAAGCTCAAAACGGCGACTAGTGAATTCGACCACATGCTCGAAATGGGCATTGTCAGACCTTAAGTGGTCCTTGGGCATCACCACTACACAAGGTTCCCAAAAAGGATAGCAACGACCGGCGTCCATCCGGTGATTACCGAAGGCTTAATGCCAAAACAACACCGAACTGCTACCCGATACCTCGTGTTTACGACTTGACTGCATCGTTATGCGGAATGAACATTTTCTCCGAAGTTGATCTGGTCAAAGCGTTTAACCAGATACCTGTGGCAGCAGAAGATACCGAGAAAATAGCCATTATCACTCCTTTTAGCCTCTTCGAAACCCTGCGAATGCCATTTGGTCTTAGGAGTGCAGCACAAACATTCCGACGCTTTATGGATGATGTCTTCCGTGGCTTGAGTTTTGTCCACGCTGACATCGATGACTATCCGTTGCGAGTCCAGGTAAGGAAACTCACCTCAGACATTTGGAATTCCTACTCAGTAGGCGGAGAAAACATTGCATCACTGCCAATTTGCAGAAATGTGAAATAGGGGTTGAATCACTCAGCTTCCTTGGGCATACCATTGACAACAAAGATATACGCCCATTGAGAGATAAAGTGGCGGATATCATGAACTATCCAGAGCCGACTGTTGTGAAGCAGCTCTTCACTTTCAATGGCCTGGTAAGTTATTACCGAAGGTATATCCTTAACTGTGTCTCTGTCATGAGACCACACACAAACCCACTTTGAGGGGCTACAAAGTGCATGACCCTGGAAAGTATGTCTAGACTTGCTTCCCCAGGAGTAAAGGGAGTTATCTCAAATGCAACCACGCTCCTTTGAGCATTGCTATTGACGCATCTGGCGCAACAATTAGGGCAGTTTTGCAACAGTCGACTAACAACCAGTGGCAACCTTTAGCCTTTTATTCGAGGCAGCTGCAAGAAGCGGAGGCAACGTCAGTACATTTGGCAGGGGACTCCTAACTATATACTGTTCGGTATGCCATTTTCGACATTCGGTTAAGGGTCGTGACTTCACTATTTCTACAGACCACAAACCGTTAACCTTCTCTCTTAGCTCAGCACCCGACAAACACCCCCCCCTTGAGTCGTGGCAACTGGATTTCATTTGCCAGTTCACGTCAGACATCCGCCACGGTTCCGGAGCAGAAAACCCAACAGCCGACGCTCTATCTCGAACAGCTTCGGTAAACCCCACCGAAGGTGTTGATCTTGTTGCCAAAAAGAAGACCTTGAGCTGCATCACGCGTTGTCCACAACTCTGAAGCTACAACTGTATCCAGTAGGGCCAGGGGAAGATACAATTTTATGCGATGTCTCTGCTAGCCAACCACGCCCAATACTGTGGAGAGATGTTGGTGGAACATCTTCACTACGTTGCACACACTGTCCCATCTGGGTGTACGAGCCACCATCAGGGGTGTTGCACAACTTTTCCGCTGATTGGGAATGAACAAAGACGTTGAAGAGTCGGCTCAGTCGTGTTTAGCTTGTTAGAAGTGCAAGGTAACACGACAAATCATAGGTATTTTAGGTCCTTTTCTGTCCCCAGACATGCGTTTCAACCACATCCACATAAATATATCAGGACCCATACCAGAATCTAGTGGATAAACACACCTTTTCACTTCCGTGGATAGTTTTACGAGATGGCTAGATGGAGTGCCTATTAAGGATATTGCTGGTGAAACTATCGCTCGTGTTTTCGTAGAAAGATGGATCGCTAACTTTGGATGTCCATCTTACGTAACGACCGACCGTGGGCGCTAATTCTAGTGCAGATTATTTCACTGCACTGCACTTTTAGGTTGGACTTAGTTCCGTATAACATCCTACCATCCACGAGTGAATGGCATGGTAGGGCGTTTCCACTGGCAGCTGAAAGCTCCCTTTTCAGTTGCAAACATACCTCAGTGGGCCGAGGCTCTACCTCTAGTCCTACTAGGTGTTCTTAACGCGTTGAAAGCTGATGCTGGATGCACCTCTGCAGGACTCGTCTATGAGACCACTCTTCGCCAACCGGGTGAGCTTTTTCCCTTTCAACTTTCAAACATGCTTTTGGCAGGAAACCTTACGTGACCAGGCTTACAAATACAGCGCGTTCAGTTAGCCCTACTCCTGTTTGAACTCAAACAACTGATGTCTTCGTCCACCCCGTTTTACAAAAGACATCACGCGTGTCCGTCTGACACGATGCCGTTTGTCGACCACTTGAACAGCCACCTTATGACGGTCCGTTCAAAGTCAACAAGCGGTACGAGAAATTCTATGCAATCAGGCGAAACGGGTATGAAGATACTGTTAGTATCGATTGTTTGAAACCAGCTTGTTCCGAAGGCAACACAATCATGAGTGACGTTTCGGCTCGTTATGGCTGACCGTGTGACCGTGTCTGTTAATACACAGGTGAAACAACCACCGGCACAACAAAAACATGATCAGGTCGAGCCGTCAGGTTCCTGGAGCATTCGAAGTCATATTCAAGTAAGTAGTGTGAAATAAATTGTGCCAACCGTTATTTCAATACAAAATCTTCTTTCGGGGCACAATTTTTTATTTACTGGGAAAGCGAAAATTCTCCCGCATTTAGTTTTTTTTGGTGTGAATTGTTTTACTACCATGCAGTCATGCTCTCTAAAAAAATGGGAACAAGCATAAGATCTATTTTCGATGTATTTATCTACAAATGTTCCCCTTTTTTACCAAACCTTTCCATGGTATTAAAGACTTTTATTTGTATTTTAGATGCAGAGAGCTCTGAACAGAACGTCAAAGAACACTGAAGTTCGCAATCGACGTACAATCCGAATCACTGCATTGTATTTTTCATTCGCCTAGAATAAGTTCAGAAAACCAGGGACCACCTCTCGCAGTGAGTCCATCGAAATAGTTTCACCAGTGGAGAAACCGCCGAGTTTCTACTTCCTGCTGGCGTCGCCTCAGGGCTCTCACGAACCCACTAAGAGGGAAGTCGCCTGAAGTGTCACCCACTTCACAGGGATCAATAGCCTAGGGTTTGACGAGATTCAGCATTGACGCTGATCTTCATAGCTCCACTGGACTCGCCAAGCTGAAGGCACCCGGCCAAGCATCCTGGCCATTTGGCACGCCGTCGTGTCACGTTGCACTGCTCGTAAGCGATCCTCCAGCTAATCAGTTGGAACGCAACGGTATCTTGGGACGACCTCGCAAATATACTATTCAATCCGACTACGATATTCTGTTCTTCCTTAGTCTCGTGTTCGTGAGCATATAAGGAGTTCGAATAATTAGTGATTGGCCCCTGCGTCCGTCAATTTCGCACCAGGACAATTTGTAAACACCCGAATTCTCTAACCATTTGGTATCAGTGTTACGGTTGGTTGGTACTTGGATTCGTTGGTTAATATCCACCAGCGACCTAAGAGAACCTTGGGAAACTAATAAGTGAGCAAGAGAAAACGAAGCGGTTTATATTATCTCACAAAATGTGCATTGGACATTATAACCGTCTCTTGTCCCTTCTGCAGTTGTGCAATGATTTAAGGTACTGAGCTAC